TGAGAAATAGAAACCATCTTTGGAGATGGGATCACAAGCTGCATTACAAGGCCACATGTCCAAGGGCAGGACACAGATCCACACAATATATTTCAACACTCAGATCATCCACAGTTTGTCATATATGGTACAAGATTTACATGAGGACCATTTAAATGAGTGAAGCCCTCTAGCCTCTGAATTGTGGTGCCTCATTTTTCCAACGAGCACTTTTTGATTGTATGAATGATGCTTGAGATTTATGCCTTGAGAGAGGAAAAGTACAGTATATAGAGTATATAGTTTTTTTCTCTAATGAATGAAAAGGACCCTGATATACAGCATATCTATGGAAAGTTGTGTGTCCCGATTAATTTGCCTCTGAGCCATTGTCAGATAATTAACATGTCGTGTTTTTCTTTGACGCCCTACAGTATTCTGACACCTCATTACCACAAACAACCAGAGGGGGTGCTGCAGCACTCTCAGCACCTGTACTTCCAGCGCTACTGCATAAGACAAAGCTGTTTTTTTTTTATATGTGAAAACCTGAGCAGGTGGATGGATGTGAGGTCTTGATGAGAAATGGCCACAGACTTTGCAATCGCTGAATGAGCTGAAGTCAGGCTTGTTCCAATACAACAAAGTACTGAGGCTGTCCCAAACCGCGAAAGTCCTGCGGATGAATTAGCGGTGCCTATAGCACCCCAGACCTGTGGCAGCACCTAGAGGACGGAAAGAAGCCTGAAGCCCCATCACCGAGGCTTCACTGGGGGTGGGATTTGTCCCTGATCGGTAAGTTTGATGGTTTAGAGGAGGCCTGAGAAATGGGGGATGGGTCCCACACTGGAGAGTCACAGGGCAAGAGCAGTAATCCTGAGACTCTGTGGATATCAGCCATTTTGGAGGCAAGGTGCTATTTTCAAGAGCTAATGTTTTAAATTACAGTGAGAATAATTACAGGGGACCTGCACAGTACCTCTGTTTCCTTTGCTTTTTGTTACCTTATTATATATTCTTCCAGTGATTTTCCTCGCACATTTAAATAAGGCTGTTGGATTAGCTATTGTGGGCCCTATTCAATTTCAGCCTCTACACAAGGCTATTTACCTGACAATAGCATCAAGTCGCTATCATTACATCTTCCGTAATTTTTATACACTTTTGTACAGAGAGGACGGCCAAATGGCTCGAGGCACGTACCACACTGTTAATCAGATGGGAAGATAGCTTTGCGGGTTCGCTGTCTGGGACACATGAGCTTCTTCGTTCTTTCAGCTGACCTCTGCCTTGGTGGGTATGATCCCCTTAGCAGCGTGTTCTTCGGGGAAAATTCATCTTCTGCTTTCCAAAGCATTTGAGTGCAGCCTGCATACAGAACAAAGGTTCAAAATAAAGCCATTATTATAAGGACCCCATTCATCATGCATCACTTTGCTTATGGATATGACTTAATATATGCATAGAAATCTACTTTGTATATGAAAAAGGCCAGAAACATAATAGATTATAATGGTATAGCTCTGTTGTCAAAAATGTTTGCATGCTAATTAAATACTAGCTGGGCAGTGAAGAGATCCAATAATAATAATAATTTTTTAAATGTTTTAAAATGCTGCTAATTCATTTTTTATTCTTGCATTGAACTCAACCTTAAAACACTATTAAAACAATAATAATAATAATGTCTCAGGCCAACACCTCTCATACGTTTGTGCTTGATTTTTTGTGCTAGATTACAAACCCTCTTCCCCTTGTTGAAGTGTCCATCCTCTTCGGTTGACTATAACACCTTCAGAGGCCACTGATGAATACGACACACAGCTCATGAATACCTGCCCTACAGTGCATAGCAAGGGAGTGTCAGTTATGCTCTTTCTGCTCGAAGAAACAGAGTGCAAATCATTCATGTGCAAGACGCCACAAAGAAAACTGGCAAAATGCTCCATACTCAGTATTATATGATCACATACATTTATACTGTCTAGTCTGAAACAACTTTTTATTCACTAAAAGCAAAGGATACGCAATAAACGCACTTTTCAAGTTCAGCATGCGTATCATGAAAAAAAGACTCATCTAACAACTGATGATGTTAAAATGTAAAACTTCCATGGTTGAAGAATTCATACAAAAAGAAAAGGAGCTATATCTCAAATGCATGTGAAATGAACATTATACATTATCCCAGGGTCCACAGCCTCACATGCAGTGTTTCCTAGGATAGACCCCAGACTCCCGACCACCATATATAAGATAAGCAGACACTAAGAATGGATGAATGAATAGATTATAAT